AATTCGTGCGTGTATGCATAGCATAATATAACCGTTCAATGCAGATATTTGAATATCAAACAATGGACCGCGTTTTGCGATAACGCAGACATAATGTACCTTATGAAAATATCAAGATTTTGCTGTACGCCGTGGCGGGAGGTTGACAAGTAGGGGGGGGACTGTGTTATAAAAGAAAAGTGCCCTTCAAAGTTACTATGTAGAGTTTTGAAGAAGAAAAAAAATAATCCAGATATTCCACTGGATGTTTATTCTGTGCGTAGAGCCCGATACGGTTGAACGTTGATTGTACTCGTCGATTATATGAAAATGATACGCGCGAACGCGTCTGTTAGAAATTTTCATGATGAACACCTATTCCGTTTATTACACCCACTACGGTTTCGCGGGGAGGTGATTTGCTCTTGCGAAACCATTGCGAACATTTCACGGCTGCACGTCGATAAAACCGTGTAAAACGCGCGTGTATTTATTCAGCAACCTTAACGTAGGGACGTATTAAAAGGAACGAAGGGGTGATCGCCCCCTCCCCCTGAATCCGTATTTAAGGAATTGATTACATGTGAGATACACATTTCAATTTTTTTTTAATGTGGATCATTTTATAATGAAATCTAATTACGTGTGGCTGTGAGTACAGATTTGGGCTTTTAGTTGGATCCATACTTAGTGAAAAATCAAATAAAACACAAGCGTAACTTTCAAAACTCAGACAAGTGTAAAAAAACTACACAAAAGTCGATTCTAAGTGGATCCGGAACTAAAAAAAAAAAAAAAAAAACACAAATATTAAGGATTCATCTTCCCCCCTCCCTAGAAGTAAATCTAAATACGCCCCTGCTTTAACGTACAGTTTACAACTAGTGTTAACAATAGCCGTTGCGTTTGACGATCGTAGTGCTCTGGAAGCAGTGCATTGCGTGATCGCATCGCGATTTTAAGCCAAACGAATTTACTATGTATATTTTATAAACAAATTAATCAAATTGAAAAGCATCGAACACTCTCTCTTCACTGTTGATGAGCTGTTTTATTTGAAGAAGTATTACATATATATACATTATTTCTTCTTCTCACTCTTATAATGACTTCAAAGTTATTTTATTATTGTTCATAATCATTTGTTCCGTATTTAGGTGTTTATAGTGACAAATTAAAAAAACAAAATACGGGTGCGCACCGCGAAACATCGAGCTGAACTAAAGTGAAAATAAATACCATCCACAGCTGGTTCGGTCGTCCGTAGGAAACCACTGCTCGCGCAATGATCGGCCGTTGCGGCCGGTCGCAGCTTGGAAACATTTGCGTGGCAACGACGTCGCGACCACCGGCCAACGTTCTGCGGACGGACCGGTGCTCGACTTGGCAAAATCAAAAAGGGGGGGCTCCATTAACTTGAGCAAAAAGAACGTCCCCAAAACTTGTTTAGCGATATAACGATAACGCTTAATAATAGTTGAGGGACACTAAAACGTCTGAAAATCGGTTGGGTCCCCCCGTCTCCCTGCGTCCCCCCTCAAAGCAAGCACTCGGGACGACGGGTCCGGGACCGTTGTCGCGCCGGTCCGGACGTCCGAAGTAATATCGAAGCGTTTTAATTGACGTAGGTCGTGCCGTGTCGCGTCGTAAATCGCACGCGCTCGTAATTGGTACCCGAACACGTGCACCGTTCGGACGATGAACTGCGCAAGCCGTCCGCGGTCGGGAAACAACAACAACCGCGACGATAACGATTTACTCGCGGAATAATGAAAACTAGTCGATCGTCACACGTAGAGCTTGTAAACGGTAGTAAATCGGTCCAATGTTTTCGGGTACTAGCCGCTCTTGCGCGATCGATATCGTCGTGCAATTTTCTAGTCCGCGTTCGTGCCGGATGTTCATCAGCGGAGCACAGCGAATAAGAACACATAAAATGCATAAGTCTCGTAGCAGAAGTGTCCGGACCAGTTTAGCAGGTCGTGCGCAAAACGAGCGTACAAACGCGTAAGCGGAATGACGACGACGAAGGCCGAGGAAAATACGATTTTAAAATTTTGGAAAAAAATCATTACTACCTTACAACACGCATACGAATATAATAAAAAAAATGTTATTAATCTCTACGGTAATTCTAAACGTCGTCTTGTTGGAATCATAACTCTAAGCAACCATTGATAATTTAATTAAAGCGAACTTTGCAGGTCGTGTCTGTGTGTGAGGAACACGACCCGTAGACACGCCTGTACGTCTTATAAACGACATGGGATAGTATACGACCGACTTATACTACGAATATAAATATACCGAAATGGAAAGAAAAAATTGTTAGGGATGACGTTCAAAGTGAGTAGTAACATTACAAGGATTAATACGGTGAAATAGAATTAAAAGTGCTGTTTGTATTTTCCAATGCACGTTGACTGGAAGTCAATGCACGGTAAACGTTTAAAAAAAAATATCAAACCGAAACGGATTGCAGATACTGTATCAAATACCTACAAGAAAACATACTTCAATGTCACATACCAAACTTTGAACAGAAAAATAATATCTACTCCGGTTTAAATTATCGTTGTGGAATAGAACATAGCCAATGAACTAATGGCTATAATTAAATGCAACATATCGTTGACAATATCAAATTCGTTTACAACATCTTATTATAATAATATTATAATTTCTACTTATGTACACGTGTAAATACCATATGCTTATGTTATTATTTATTTCTTACGTAAACCTATCACTAATATTATATGTATTTGTTAAATGAAAAATGATTTCGGTACACGTACAACCACGCAGGTATGCGTAGAACAGTTCGTATGACTGCGAAATATATTCTTAAATATTAAAATAACGCTATTAACAGTATTTCCTGACATCTAGTTAGTGTATTATGATTTTTTTTTTCAAAGGAATGAATTATGTAGACAAGTTTTAAATTAATGACATTCGAGACATATAATTTAACGTTCATTTTCTTGTGAGAACTGCTGTGCGCTTTTTTAATATTCTAAATATAATTTCATAAGACTAGCGTAAAACTAAAATCAAATTTGTGTATCGTAAGATGTGAAATATTGCGTTTGTAATTGAATCGTCCGGTGTTATGAACCATCGTGGCCCGAGTTCGTGTTTTATGCGAATAAACTTTGTTGTAAATTTTAATATTAGTAGAATATACGTACTCAACAGTTAATCAAAATAATGTATCTTGTTGTCAAAAACTAAAATTAAAATTAAATATTACTTATTTTTTATCTTATTATGCTACTATTGCTGCTATTTGCTACTATTTCATAGGTCAAAAATTAATTCAAATATTTTTAGTTTAAAAATATCTTTAATCCATTAACTTTTTTCCTACCATCGGTATATATACAATGCATATTATACACACACACACACATATATAGGTACAACTATTCCGATTAAAAATCAACACTATGTGTTTCATTCGAATCATGAATGCGGTGCAATATATATAGGTTATAACCCAAAGGGTTCATAATAATTAATTAACAACGATAGATCACCTGTTTAGTTTATACTCAAAACGTGTTACGGTGCGTAAGCATTAAAAACGCAACGACCTACCGCAAGAGATGACATAAGTTTATTTTTAAATACGCGTGTTGTTTTATGGATGTATGTATAGACATTTTTTTTTTTTTTTTAATTTTTATTTGTTCGCGCTCGGTTAACGCTACGCGGTTTTATAATTACGGACATAATAAATGACGTACGTGACCGTAAAACTACTACAACTTGTTGGGCACTATTAAACGAAAACCAGACCGGTGTTTTACCGGTCCAAATATAAAATCGCGACAACCCTCTGTGGTTGAATTTTGGCAGTTATCGCGGAACTTATGCATGTACACCGATTCGCTTAGTTCAATCACGTCGTTAAAAAACAACGCAACCGTCTTGTTCATACGAACAGTACTGCGCACCACGTTGCGACAATGCGATTGAAAACACGAAAGTTCTCGGCTGGCGGCGTTCGTCTGGAACACATTGATCGAGGGTCGAATACTTTTGTGCGGACGAACCGTAGGATTTGCGAGATTTTCAACTGAAGACGATCCGGCAGCATGAGGTAGCGACGAATTTTGCCGGGGGCCGAGGAAGACAACGCGAACGCCGCGTAGAAAATCCGAGCACTAGACCTCCGAAGTACCGAGAGCATTATTCTTACTAAGCAACGAACAAAGCACTTGAGTTCGTTACGAAGTTGTACGTGTCGGCGAGTACGGGCACGTAAGTTATCTCTCTCGCAGCGATAACTCGAACGACGAGTGTAGAGGAAAGGACCGAAGTGAGACGAAAATGATCATGCGGATTTCGAAGAAAAACCTCTTGTACGTGTTGTACGTTCACTGTAGTCCGTGAGTTTAAAACAATCTAGTCCGATAACGTTGTTCTGCGAAATCGTTATCCGACAGTAAAATTAAGAGATTGCATAATATCCGATACCGTTGAAAAGATCCGTAAGAGAACGTAAAAAAAAACGCCAAGACTGAGACGAATTACCGCAAAGAAAATATTTACGACTTATAATATAAGTATATATAATATAAATTTGAAGTAATTCGATGGACGATTTGAACATCCGAAAATCGATTGGTGTCACGTGGTTATCAATATGAATTGTCCAAAAACGCGATACACTGCACGTGAACACGTAAAAATCACAAACACGTCAGACATCACGGTAATCTCGAGAAGAAGTAAAGTTGAAATAACGAATAAGTTAATAATAATAAGTTAAGGTCAAAAAAAAAAAAAAGGATTTGTTGTGAGTACGGCGAATGGATTACGATGCGGGGAGTGCGACCGACTCCCCAATGGATTGGCCGCGATCCGTTTCGTCGCAACAGTTATTAGTGCTTCGGAATGGTGAGTTGGTGGCGACGAGTTCCGAATTCGGAAAACACCAAAACACGGTTAAACGTTTCGTTAAATAGGAAAAAAAAGAAAAGAAAAACGGTAGTAACTGTTGGGCTGCTTACGTCATGTCGATCCGGCGCGCTCGTGTCCGGACGAGTTTTCGATGCACGTGCGCCGGAGACCACGTGTTTACCGGGCGGTTGCCGCGGAGGTGGCAGTGAAGACGTGTTATATCTGCTCGCGCGATCGGTTTCACTTCGAAGCGTACCCGGACGCGCGGGCGCGCGCGCACAAACACTCGGAGCGAAACTTTGCACGCGCACAAAACACTTCGCGACGGCTAACGGGGTCTTGCGGAGTGTGTGCGAGAGAGAGAGAGCAAATCGAAGAGGGAGATTGAGAGCGAGAAACGAACACGAGATCACGGCACGCGGAGGGCGCGCTGCACACGGCGGTACCACAATACAACACGTCGATAGTTTGCCGGCAACTGAGAGCCCGCCGACGTACTACACACGCACCGCGCGATACACACACGCACACATACGCGCGCTGCTCGTTCACCACACACACACACACACACGCACACGGGCACACACGCGCGCGCTAGACCCCTCCGCCCCCGTTCGGCCGAAGAGTGGCTCTGCTCACCCGCACCTCGCGCGCGCGCTACTCCTTCCGGCACACCACACACACCACACACACACACGCATATACACACACGCGGCACGAGTCGAAGAGCATCCCCCCAACACCACCACCATCATCACCACCACCATCGCCGTCACCGCCAAACTTCACCCCGACCCCGTCTCAAGACGGGACCCGCTGAAGTCCGGGGCTGGTGCGATTTTCCCAAAACGCCACGTTGGATTATCGGTAATGATAACGCCGTCACACGCGCGCCAGGACGACGAGGAAAACAACACGAAACGCGGTCCTCGCGCACTACCTGCATCCGGATTCGTAACCGAAGGGTCCTTGAACGCGTACGAGTTCATCGTACGATTGTTGTTGTGACCGCGAATCAACGTTTTACCGTTCACGCGTATTCGTAGATTTGGCACAAGTGCTTTTGCAAGGCTCGTCGTACAGTTTCCTTTCAGACGTGTGTGCCGCCACATAAGAACTTTAACAAATTTACACATGGAACGTTTAGGCGTAAACGAAAGCCAAATGACCCGCTGTAAAAATGTTCAAATCAACATTTTACTCGATTTTAAGTCAAATATTCGGTTGGATCGATTAATATTCGTACAAGTTTTTCCGGACAATCGTGTTCAATGCGTCTAATTACCGTGTAAACCCCTGCCGCGCAATATCATAGTTCTGCGGAATTCTGTTCCGAATTCATTTTCCCGCAGTTGTTTCGCTTCATGTGTCATAATACATTTGTCGGACCGCGTTTCGCCGTCGGCATGCAAAGTACTATTATTTTTAATTGTTACACGCGTAGAGATACATTGTTCATTCATTGCACAGAACCCATACGGCGGGCGAATCTCATCGGCTTCGACATAAGGCGCGTTCTCGATTTCGTCTGGCAGTGTATTTTAGAGGACGAACAAGATTTAATGGGATAACAATCGACCGTTTCGCAGGATTGTTCTAATTACGTTACTGGACGCGCAACCCCACTCGATTCGGAAAACGAACTTACGACGGGTAAACAATTTCGTAAACGCGTTTTCGTGCATCCGTTGGACGACACGTGAGCCAAAACTCGCGGTCAAGTCATCCAACACGACTATACGTGGAAACAATCGCACCGTTTATGCAAATCAGTACGAACGGTCCGACGTGTTACTTCGTAAAATCACCTTTACGCGATTGGAAACGTTAATGTTCCGATGACCATTAAATAAACGCTGGTAGTTGTAACATCAATGTTTAACGAAGTCTAAATTTATGCTTCGTTCAGATACATTACCACGTATGATATTATTTACATTCACTGAATACATTTTTTCTTGAGTACACGTCATTCATCCGCGTTCATCCCCCCCCCCCGCCACCTTACTGGATATAATTTCGTCTTCTTAAATCACACACAGAATACCGTATTTAAAGGGCAATAAAGTAGTTTGATGTGTTTTATCCGACCTTCGTCCACCGGTTGAATAAACAGAATCCACACCCACACTTTTGCGAGTCGCCGCGGCGCGCCATTAACTTTTATATTATTTTCCTGTACACAGTTTCATTTTGCTGTGTCAGCTCATTTGCTTCGCCGACCTGTTTGAAAAATAAAATTGCTACCGATTTTATACCTATAGATTTAAAAATTTTATGTCTACAGAATAATATATATTTTAAAGTTTCATTTCGCCACCATAGTGTATTTTAACGCAAATGTTTATGTCTTATAAGTACAACGAAATTCGGTATTCTTCGGTGACAAAACATACGAAACTGATGAAACATTAAAATAAAACGATATTTCAATAAAATTAAATTTGTGAAAATGCCTGCGCTCACGAGTGTGTATTGATGAATACCTCAGTTGAAATAATAATGTCGTACAAGGACAGCAAAAACCGTATTGTAGATTGTAATTTCATCAGACGCGAACAGTGTTTTGCTCATTTCGTTTAAAGTAATATTGTCATAATTTAGTATTTCCCGGAGCGGTTGTGAAAACAGATTTATTACACTCCGCTGATACCCACGCATTATACACCGCATTATACACGAAACCATAAACATTATTGCTTACCTGACTGTATAATATAATATCATATTTATAACGTTGTTCAAAATTAATATCGGTGACGAAGAATATTATCCCGGTAGTTAAAATCTGACTTTTGTATGAAAATCATGTTTTACACAGATAGCTCTCGGCGATTCGATGCATCCATGTCGATTTCGAACTAAAACCTTGTGATTGTCGACAAGGGGGTAAATAATGGTATGACACGAGGACTCATCTCGTTGCTTTTTTTCGCTATGGTCCGATAAAAAGACTTATAATGTAGGAAATCAGAATTATGGAAAAATGTATTCGTGTTTTAAAACATTCAAGCACTGGTAAGTTACATTAATAGGAAATTACATAAAATTATAGGTTTATCACTGAATCTTGACCACTGGTATAATAATTTCTGCATTCATTATTTTTTCCATCTTTGAATCTTTTACCATCCATATGCGTTCAAAAATCATATACTGCACTATACAGTACATTGAGCCAGTGAATAAAAACTATCTTGTTGGTTTATCTCGTACATTCATATAACACACAATTAATATGGTAAACAATGCAAGCCATCTCGGTAGGCTTTATTAACAGTGTGTTCATAAGTCAAAACCACTATTATTTCCATAGTTTGATGACGAAATTTTTGTAATTGACGCATTTTGACCTTGCAGTGGTCATAAGTCTTAATCAGTATCTCGTCTAATAAATTTCACATTATTGTATTAATAGTTGAAACGTTTATGTTTTATCGTTTTTATCGTTAATTCACGTACCATTGTTTCAGACTTGTTAAGGATGAAGTATTCATGGGAATAGGAGGTTTTACGGCTCCTATCATTTACAGAATCTCGAGGGATATCTTGATACGTCCTAATTTGTCGATATGATCATAGAGCAATTTGAAAGCCACAATTTAGCCAATGTCATAGTCATATGCAACAGACTAATAGTAATAAGATAATACACAAAACATTTAATTAATATATTACAGAGAAATATAAATAAAAACAAACCAAAGTAGAAAATTTAATAATACGAGTAACATTCATTGAGAGTATTTATTATGAGTAGTATTATTAATAAAGTAACAAAGCCATTTATTTGGTAATAGAGTTTTATAGCCATTATTATTTTTACTCAGTGTAATTAATAACTTCAACTATTGTTGTATTTAATATACAGTCTATTGAATGAAACTCAACTGTTTCATCTATTCCATCGACAGTTCAAGTTTAACCGTTTAATATGAGAAACGTTAAAAGCATTTCTGAATGAAATAAGTTTGATTAATAAGTGAATATTTATAAAAATAGTATTTATATAGTTGGACGACAAAAATCCTTAATGCGATATATTGAATTTTTAATGATTCAATTTTTGCAAAAAAAAAAAAAAAAAATTAAATTTGAGAAAATCTGTGCCTGCAAATAGTACTTTGAAACTATAAAATGTCTTTAACTAAACAACATATACTATTTAATAGAAATTCATGGAAACATCCGATTTCGTTATAACGAATTTCGTTATTACATTTTTTCACACATATACATCATTTTTGTGACTTTTCAGTAAAACTTTTATTTCGCTACAAAAAATACCATATGTAAAATCTTCTATCCATTTTTCAAAACTAAAATAAAAAATAAATAAATATGTTATGAATTTTGAATTTTAAAAATGTAAAAAACAAAAAAAACCAGTGTATACCATAAAACATTTAACAACATACTATACGCTGAATACGAATTCACGTGAAAAACGTTAAAGTTAAACAATAATTCGAAAAAAAAATGGCAATAGAAATACGTAAGTACGTAAAAATTACTCTCGACCTTTCCGTTGGACAAATTTAATAATTCAATTCTATATTGGAACAAGTATGCCCAAGCATTTTCAATATACGGGAAGGAAATTTTAATTATGTAAATACAAGGCGGACTGTAATAAAAAATTAAAAAAATATTTTCACTTGGCCTTCGGGTAAACCATCAACAATGTTTGTGTTGTTGTGTTCGTGTGGGTGTTTGCTTTTAAAATTAACTCCTTCGAACCGTTGAATTTGACGATTCGCAGATACATAGTCACCATTGTATATTACACAGAACAAATTTTATTGTAATGTTGTTTTGCGGCGATGTCGTTTGCACCGGTTAAAAGTGAATTTGGAATTCAATTACACGAAATATGTGTCGGTGAAAAATTCGAGACTCTCATGGGAGGTGCAGTAGGTGCAGTACTCACACGTTGCGACCAACGTGATAAAACCGGATAGTTGTTTAATATAAAATTTATATTCGAGCAAAAGAAATTAAATTGGACATTTCCAGGTTGTGCATATAATTATTGTATACTATTATACCTATAATATAGTTGTGAGTAGAGCACGCTTATAATAATAAAACTAAAAACGAATCATTCGTTTATAACGCACGTTAACAAAAAAAAAAAAAAATAAAAATGTCACTGTAAAAGATGGGTACGTAATGATAAGTACTATAATATAGTAAGTATATTATTATATTATTAAGTATATTATACTTACGTATGCGGTTTTTCGACTTATGCAAATCGATTAAGTAACTATCTATATAGTTTTTGCATTCAAATCAGATTTGATATTCGACGATATCAAACGCAAATCGTTATAAATACATTTCATTGGTTTTCAACATGTTATTTCACCGAAAATGTATATTTATATATGAGCTTATAGATAAATATTACTTCATTATACTGTTTCAGAAAAAGTCGACAAAAATTTCTAGGAGTATAAGAATCTTCCTTTTTAAAAAA